TTATACATATATATATACTTATACTTAACAGTAAACTTGGAAATTTTAATGCTATTCCCACTTTCAAAGGAAGAAGCTATGCTTCACAGCAAGTAAATAACTAAGAGTACACAAATATAAGCAGCAAACTAACTTTTGAACCCAGTATTTTAACTCTAAATCCCACCATCTTTCCATGGGAAAATGATCTTATTTTTAGGAAACCCTACGAGTGAAAGAAATGTTATTTATTATACCAGGACAACAGACAAACTAGGCAAACTAGGCAAAATGATCCAGTGGTTGCCCTAACAGTAGCCCCTTCCCGAAGATGATCCACTGAGTGGAAAAGAGAAGCAGGGAAGAGTGTGAGGAAGAGGATAAGAGATGATGGTGAAGGTAAGATCATGAAACTCGGCTCCTGAGACTTGCTGGAATCCCTTGCAATGTTTCCTAAGTATTCAGAAATACTAAATTAAATCATTGTAAAAAAAGCTGAGACTAATCACCTTAATTTTATTCAAGGAAACAGACTTCAGGAACCTCCCACATGATGTATTTAACTAATCTTTGATCATAAGTTATAATCATACTTGAGGTCATTTTATAATAATCTTTGCCAGTCTTTGCCCTAAAAAGTAATGGACTCCATCTTTTTTAATTTTGAAGATGTGCATTGCAGGAGAGTGAATTATTCTTGGCTTCTACCATATTAATTAGCAGATCTGAGAGTAGGCCTCACAGGTCCCGGTTCCAAATTTCATGGATCCGTTTTCCAAATTAATTCAGAGGTCATTGCCCTGAGCTTCTCTGCATATCGGTTTCCCTTTCTGAGGTGTTGAGCAGAATTAGCCATCATTATGCTCCTGGCTAATTTAAATTTAAACCAGTTAAAACAGTCTGATGTAAGGTACCAATACATTCTTCATTGGTGAGGCCTTTCTGAAACTAAAACCATATGTTGAAAATGTGTTAAACTCTCGCCAAAAGTCTTGCTGGCAATCTTTTTTTATGTATAAATTTTCTTGCATTGAAAGCTTAAACATCTCAAATGTAAGAAAAATACTAACATAAGAAATTATATTTATAATTGAAATGTGATATATATTCAAGTTCTTCTACATTTCAGATATTTTAAAAGAATGTTAAAAATATATTACATACATTTAAAGCCCTACTCTTACACCCACCTCCCTGCCCCTTCTACACTACCCTTGCCTGGGTCCCTTTGTCCTCAACCACATAGTATGTGCTGTTTTGAATTAGGCTTCTTTTACTCTGCACATTAGCGTCTATTAAATTCATCCATACTGCTGCACTTGTTAGTGTTCATTCCTTTTTATTACTGAGCAGTATTCCATTATAACACAAAGTGTTTTCCAGCATGAGCTTTTTGTGCTTAGATTGTTTCCAGTTTGGGCTATTGTGAATAAAGCTGCCATTAGCATTCTTAGGTATGTGCTGTGGGAAGTGGAAATGCCAGGTGGAACAATAAGCTTCAATAACTACAAACATGTGGCCAAGTTTTTTTCACCAGTACTTCCCCAACCCCTTCCTCTATGGGTTATTTTAAGTCAGCCTTTCTGCTTTCTGAGAATTTTGTCTAATACCACTGGTGTGCAAATGTCTTGATTCTTCTCACAATGGATTATTTTCTGATATAGTGTGTCTTGTTTGATTCGCAGCTTATTTTCAGCAGGTCATTTTCCATACCCACCCACTCCCTCAGAAAGTCTCTGTGCCCGGAGCTGTGGGAAATCCCTCCACAGAGTTTAGGATTTTCTTCTGCCAGGACCTCGGTGTTGTTACAGGTCGTAGATCCATTTTTAGACTGATTGATTGGCCCGGTTGTTCCTTGGCCATATGAATATTAGCAGTTCAAACTCTAAACTCATATGAAGCATAGCCTCACAGCTGTAAATATTCTAAGGAAACATTTATTTCTCTACACAGAGATCAGACAGAAACAAATCTGCTTTCTTATCTCCTTAAGCCAGTGGATGATTATTTTCCCATTTGCTTAAGGTGTAGTTTTTCAAGAAATCTAGTTTATGTGGATGTTTTAGTCTCAATTCCCAGGTTTTGGGGGGTCTTCTGTTCCCATGTGAGCATTATACCCTAAGGTTAACACCGCGTCAGTGAGACTGACACCACGTCAATGGTGTATAGCTTCAGCACCTGTTCGTAAACTTATTGCTTGGGTTTTCAGCTAATTTTTGTTTCTGGTACCTGGTGTTTTCCATTTTTTTTTCTTGAAGATATATCATAAAATTCTTTTTATATTTTATTCCAAATGTCTAAATATTTGTGTTTGGAAGAATTGAGGTTATCTCAGTCTATCATATTGCTGTACTTGAAATTCCTTATGGAAATATTGATTAAATAAATGAGGATGTAGCTCCATGGTAGAATGTTTGCCCAGCAGGACTCTGGGTTCATTCCCCAGCACAGAAAAAAAAAAAAAAAGGTTAACTCATCAGGAAAAGTTCTGTGATTTATTATTATTTTTCAGCTCAACCTTTTTACAAATAGGAAACCTGAGGCAGCTTACTGTAGTGGGAGTTGCTTTATTATTCAGGCTGTAGACTTGCAATATCTCTAGGTTCTGCCCTGTCTGGAAGTTACACTTGAATTAGATCATTTTGTAAGAGTTCTTCCAATTCCGTGACTTTATAGTTCCATGATAGTTCCAGTATTAACTTCCAGTAATTGCACCTGCAGGTCTGGTATTATAGTTAACTATAAGCTGCTAGGAGACAGGAGTCATGTCTGGTACATGTTGCCCTACATTCCAATGTTTAATCAGAACAGATCCCCCGAGCTCCACAGCATTCCCATGTCTGCCTGCAGCATGGCGTCTAATGCGCTATGTTACAGGGTCGGCTTTCTTCATGCACCCTCACTTATTGAAGGTCTTTAAGGACAAGGACCACCAGGTACAGAATGCTGAGTAAACACTGAGTAAAGGAATGAATTGTTACCAGTAATATCTTCCTGAAAACACGGCATTCAAGATTGTAATTAGGTTAGCATGTGCTCCTGTTTAGTGTTCATTTTCTTCACTTTAGGTTACAGCCCCAATGGATTTCATGAACATATTCTCGCTTCTTTTTCTACCATTCCTTCATCTTGAAATGTACCTCCCTATCTCTGCTCATTGAAATCCCTTTCCTTCTGCAGGGAAGGCCCGTCTCAGTGCCACACCTTCCAGGAAGTCTGCCGGATTCCCAAGTCTCTTCCCTTTTCTACGCCTCCACAGCACATCCCCTCGAGCACTCTTGCTGCTCTCCCCCGTCTTATAGTTACTTGAGTTCGTATTTATAGATTAGAAATTCTTTAAATGCAACAACTCTTGTGTCTTCTCTCTACCTAGTATAATGCCTTATTGATAGATGCTTAATAAATTGAAATAAAATGAATTTGAGGTTGGGGCTGGGGATTTAGCTCAGCGGCCAAAGTGCCTGCCTGGCAAGCGCAAGGTAGTGAGTTCGGTTCCCGGTACCAGAGAAAAACCAAAAAAAAAAAAAAAAAAAAAAAGAATTTGAGGTTAAAACATACATTCTTGGGTTCCAAAGGCCCTCTTACTCTGAATTATCATTTCCTTTCCTCTGCTGGTGGGCTAAGGCTTTAGCGGTGGTACCATGTTCCCTGCAGGTGGCCTATGACATGGGAGATTACTACCATGCCATTCCGTGGCTGGAGGAGGCTGTCAGTCTCTTCAGAGGATCTTACGGAGAATGGAAGACAGAGGATGAGGCGAGTCTAGAAGATGCCTTGGATCACTTGGCCTTTGCCTGTTTCCAGGTAAGGGAATAAGTGAAGCTCACTGCTTTGTTATAATATAATACTTTACATCTGTTTTACAACTTTCTAAGCACTCTCATGCCTCTTAATTTGTTTCATCTTCCCAATGGGACTAAATGTGAGGGCAGTTATTTTACTATTTCCATATGTCAGATGTGAGTAAACCGAGTCTCTGTAAATTCTTATCACAGAGCTCATGGAGCTGGGCTTAGAACTCAGGAAGAAGGTGGTCCCTTACCTAGAGCAGCAGCTGCTGCATCCACAAATCCTTAACAGGGTCATTGTAATTGTAAATCACTCTTTCACACTCCCACCAAGTGAAAACTCTTCACGGATATTTCCATGGAGGAAAAAATTTGATTATCCTCTTCTGTCTGCCACTGAGTCCAGCTCAGAGCTGGAGTCTTTGGGCCTTTGTACCAACCCCCATGCCTCCCTCAGGTGTCATCTTTTCTTGACATTGTTGACTACCTGCTATACTTCATATAGCGGTTCATTCCCTAAAGATGAAGCAGCTGCCATCTTTTTGAGTTGATGATCCCATTCCCACTGTACAGTAGAACTATACAGTGTTCAAGAATAGGCTGGAACAATTGCTGTGAAGCCAGTTCTTTGATGTATCAGTCAATGCTTACTAGAGAAATAGATCTACAAGAATCTTGTGTAAGAATTTACAAGATTGCCTTAGAATGGCCCCTCCCACAGAGGCAGGTGTGCAAAAGTGCAAGAGAGGTCTCTGTGCACTGCAGAGCTGAAGGATCCAAGTCCTGGAGCTCACTGTATTGTCCCATGTGAGTCCGGATCAGGAGGCCAAAAGGTCTGCCCTGAAAACCAGGATACACCATCTAAGGTGAAGGTGAAGACGAGTTCCTTTGAAGAAACAGACACGACACTTCCTTCTTCATTTCCCTTTTATTCCATTCAGGTGAAAGCCATATTGGTTGGTGTCACTCACCCAGGGTGGGTCTTCTGTCTGTAGTAAATCCCCTCAGCCACAGCCAGAACTATGCTGATCCAATTTAGTTGGGTGTTTCTTACTCAAATTGACACAGTCAGTTCACTATCACACCAAAGCTAATAAATCATTTCTATTCCCATTTTTTTACCCTCCACTACCGGGGACCAAACCTAGGGTGTGCTCTGCAAGCACCTTACCACCAAGCTACACCCCCACCCCCGAATTCCTTTGTTCTCGTTGTCCTAAGAGGAGGAAGCTGTGGCTGTTGGAGGAAGATGGTGCTGGGAGAACAGATTTATGCTCAGTGCAGTCCTGTTCCTCCTGTGAAAGTTCCTGGTAAATAGGTCTTTGTTATCAAGTGACCTTTTCCTAACTCTCCTGACCCACTGCTACACATTAGAGCAAAACAAGGGTAACCGTGATATAACAGTGAGAAGAGATTGAGTTTTAACAGGGGAAGAAAAGGGAGAATTGACATAAAGAGGCTCAGAGAAGGCAGAGTAATTAAAGCAGCTTACCCCCAAAAGATAATGTTGTGAATAGGGTGCCTTCTTACTAGTTTGGTTTTGTTTCTCCGTAACTTTTATGACGGCTGTCTCCTCTGCTCACAGGTGGACTCTCCTTTCACAGGTGCTTTGTCTGGCAAAATCCTATGCGCCAGACGAGGCCCAGCTCCAGTGTTACCTACTTTGTGCAGCTTTCTCCGTGTGCTTTCACTGCTCATTTTTTTAATGCCAAAGTAATAAGACATGAACACTTCATCTAATAGATGATTTATTTATCTTTTTCCTTTCCCCAGTAAATTAGAGAGGTAAATGTCCCTTCCTGGACTCTTTGTTATTGTGTAAAATGTAATACGTATATTTCTTCATTACATATTTTAGTAAAAAAGTGTTTAGGACCTTTTGATAATGAGAGACAGTAGAGGATGGTAGTTAAACTATAGGTTCAGGAATCACACAGAACAAGGCTCAAATCCTGTGAAAACTTGGCTCACTTGCTTAATTTCCCTGCGGCTCAATTTTCTTATCTGTAAAAGGGGAAATAATAATGATGTTATCTCAAAGGGTACTGTGAAGATTAAATGAGATTTTGACATATGTATGACACATCATGCACTAGTAAATGTAAGCTGTTATTATATTAAGTGCATGCTCTCCTTTTTAATTTAATGTTACTTTTTTTTTTGGTACTGGGAATTGACTCCAGGGCCTTTGACCTGAGATACATTCCCAGCCTTTTTTTTTTTTTTTTTTTTTTTTTTTAAGGCAGGGTTTCACCAAGTCTCTTAATTTGCTGAGGCTGGGCCCAAATTTGTGATCCTCCTGCCTCAGCCACCCAGAGTGCTGGGACTATAGATATGCAATGTCACACTCAACTAATGTTACTTACTTTGTGTACTTACAAAGAAATTTAGCTGGGGACCAAAAATAACTTTGTTCTTCATAAAGTATAATATTATTACAAAGCTCTTGAGTTTTAAAACTATGTAAAATTATATAAAAGTTCTCTTCATCTCACAGAGCTGTAACATTGAGTTAATATTTGACATTGCAAAATATTCATAGATCACTGTCTTGGTTACTTTTTTTCTAGCTGCTGGGACAAAATACCTGACACCCAAAATTAAGGAAGGAAAGGTTTATTTCGCTTACAGTTCGTGGAAGTTTCAATCCTTACTTGGGAGATCATAAGGCAGAGTGGCACGTGGCAGAGGGTTGCATCTCAGGACGGCAGCCACAGCTAAGCAACAACTCCCACCAGGGCGGAATGGAGGAGGAATGCCCCCAAGCAGCTTCTTTCTCTACCTTACATATGCAAACTATCCACCCCAGGGCAGGTGTAGCTCTCACACCCACAATTATTCAAACTAACAGCCTGCCCCATTTCCGCATGAGGCTTTGGGGGGGACACACAGACATAAACCATAACAATCACTTAACTATTCTTCTATTAAATATAGAGCAGAATAATTCATAATAATAAATAATTGGAAATAATCTCTACTCCAACAATAGTAGGATGTTTATCTTCTGTAATGTACTTTCTGGATGGAATAAAATACAGCCACTAAAAAAGCTATCTACAAAGACTGCGTACTAATACAGAAGCTATTCGGAAGCTGGGTATAGTAGTTGGTGCATGTCTTGTAATCCCAAGGAGGCTCTGGTAGGCTAAGGTAGGGGGATCATAAGTTTGGGCCCAGCCTGGGCAATTTAGAGACTTAGCAAGACCTATCTCAAACTACAAATATAAAATTTAAGAAGACTGAGATGTGAATCTTCATAAAGTCCTGGATTCAATCGTAGTACTATAAAAAGCAAAAAAAAAAAAAACAAAATAAACAAAAAATTCTGATAACAATTTAGAGTAAAATAATCAAGATATGAAAATGTAGAAAAATATGACTGTAAATATGTAAAAGTCATGTATTATTCAAAGTGCTTGCTCTAGAAAGTACCAAGTCTGGAGAACAAATTATATTTTTACTAGAATTTTATAGTTTCATAACAAAATATGACCAAATCACAACATCCTGTAACTACACGGTTTTGCTCATTTTGAGATTTATGGGCACTTCAAGAAAATTAAGAGGGGCATGGCAGCACAAGTCTGTAATCTCAGCACTTGGGAGGCTGAGGCAGAAGGATCACTGTGAATTTGAGGCCAGCCTGGGCTACATAAGTGAGTTCAAGGTCAGCCTGAACTGCATCGTGAGACTCTGCCTTAAAAAAAAACAAAAACAAAAACAAACAAACAAACAAAAAAAAAAACAGAAAAACGGTAAAAAAAAGTCTATCTGTATTTTTCTATTGAGCAAATAATTTTTGTTAAATTACCATTATTTTCCTGGGCAGGGTGGTAATAAGTCATTTATAAATGAGGAGAAAAAGAAGAGCTGATTTTGCAGCAGGGCCACAAGTCCCCTACGTGTCTAGCCTGCTGCTCTTTCAGTGAGCTTTAGCATCTACTTGTGGTAAGAACATAGTTTGTTTTTATACAGTGCAGTCAGTGATTTGGTCAGAGGCGATATCCTCAGTGTTGTTAATGCTTTCTTTTCTTTTCTTTCTCTTTTTTAATAAGGCAGGAAATGTTTCATGTGCCCTCAGCCTCTCCCGAGAGTTTCTTCTCTACAGTAAGTCATGATAAAAAGATAAGCTGACCACGGGTCTGACTTCTGCTTCTGGCATTTAATTCGTGCAAGTAAAATATAGATATTCAGTTTTATTATTCTAATTTCATCATCCAAGGCATATTTCAAACTTTGGGTGAAATCTTACTTATATGCAGATCGAGACGTCACGGAAAATTTGTGCATTAGCTGAAAAATGTGGAGAAGAAGGTCGATACCTGTCCCTTCCCAACTTGTGCCCTCAGTGGGAACAAATCCAAGTTGGGAGCCTGTTTCTTCAGAGACATTTTAAAGACTTGGGTTTTGGATGTAGACCCAGGAATGAATGAAATCAATGTTCTCTGTATGTACAAGGAGTGTGACTCAGGGTTATTCATTTTGGCTATTTCCAGAGCGCTATCTTCCTGTAAAACTGGAGCTAACCTTGCTATGCAATCATCGTGCCCAGCTGGCTGCAGAGTTCAGGTTTAGTGCCCTTCAAGGAATGCCTTGAACTGGAGGGAGATGATTCCTAGCTGAGCTTTGCTTAAAATTTTGGTGGTAGATGACTCCCTAGGTTTTCCTTTAATAAAGTATTGAAATACTAAAATAAAGTCCAAAACCCTGATATTTTAATATTTGTCTTAGTATTTATAATACATTTCATGTAGGGCTTTATAACTATATTCTAACTTTTTGATGAGTCCGTTTAGCACAGTCAGCTCACCACATCTGTGAGTTTTACATTTATAGATCCAGCCAACTTTCGATCAAAAGTACTTCAAAAAAATTGCATCTGTACTGAACATGTGTAGATTTTTTTCTTGTCATTATTCCCTGAAAAGTACAGTATAACAACTATTTACCCAGCATTTATATTCTATTAGATATTACAGGTAGTCTGGAGATGATGTAAAGTCTACAGGAATATGTGCATAGGATGTGTGCAAATTCACCATTTTATGAGACTTGGGTATCTGTGCACGTTGGTATACATGGGTGTCCTGCAGCCAGTCCCCAAGGGACAACTGTAACATTATTCCTTTCTTCTAATTTGGTAAGCAATAGGACATGAAAGTTGCTGTACAGTCTGGAAACACATGGGTGATTAGTAGCAGAAACAAAATGAAAACTCAGCTCTTCTTTATTTCTTTGTGATTGATCTATTAAAATCTGTCTCTCCCACAGAACCCAAGTTGTGTGCTCAGTTTGGTGATTAAGTAGGGCATGGAAAATTGAGGTTCCCGGTTCATTTCTAGCTTTGCAATATTTTCATTGGTGTTTAGGCTTATCATTTCCACTCTCCAAAACTTCATTTCTCCTTCTGTTAAAAAGGAATAGTAATTTCTGCTCCCTCCTCTCTTCTTTTGCCAGGGTGGTGGTGTGGTTAGAAGCACATTGGGCTCCTCAGATACTTTGAGAACATTAGAACAATTTCACACCTCCTTCTAAGAAGCACTGAGAATTCATGCACAGAGGCCAGTAGGCCATGGGTAGCTGCCAACCCATCTTGTAGCCAAACTGGCACAAACAGGTGGGCAAAGGAAAACATAGGGTTCCTTGGATTTCCCAAAGGCCCTGTATGAATTAGATGAGAACCAATGTCTACAATCCCCTTGTCCCATACTGTTCTGCTGTGTGTCCAGACCAGTTAGAAATTTTGAAGGGTCCAGTGAAGCAGAGAATTAGCTTCTAATTCTTCAGGAAAGACCAGGCTGAGTCCTTCCGCTGCAGGCTTGGGATCTGCAAACTTCCTTTCATAGCATTTACTTAGCTGGTTTTTTTCTAACTGATCATTAGATTCTAAACTCTTGGAAGTTGTCCTTTAGCACTATATCTGGTATATGCAAGATAATTTATTGAACATTTATTAAATGAATGAATGAATGAATGAATTAAGTTCTTTCATATACACAAAACTAACCATCACACTATCCCACAGTGGCCATCCTCATGGTTCTGTGGTCTAAACGTTTAAGTACTACTATCCTTCCCAAGGCCCTTTGTACCTTCTGATCCATCAGGCTCAAGTCAGTCTTTTTTTAACACCAGATATTCTTCTGAAAGTGAGGGCATTGACATGAGCAGTTTTTCATGGTGTCCAGTTGACAGTCCTGTGTAACAATAAAGTTGTAGGAAATCTTGATAGCACTTCCTGGGGCCACTTTCTGTTAGCCTGTATTATTCTGTGCTCTGATTTTCCCCAGGCCCAGAAAATAAGAGGATGGTCAGGAACGTGTTGAAGTATGAAAGGCTCTTGGCGGAGAGCTCTCACCAAGCAGGAGCTGAGACTGTCATCCAGAGGCCCAACGTGCCCCACCTGCAGACCAGAAACATGTATGAGGGGTTGTGTCAGACCCTGGGTTCTCAGGTAGGATTCCACAGGGAAAGAGAAAGCAGGGACAGGCTTGGCCAGAGAGTGAGAAACTAGAATTGGAACAATGGAAGAGGGAAAAGCTGATGCATTAAAAGCAGAAATGTTCATTTGGATAGATCTGAGTAACCACATTCTGTACCTCTCAGATTCTAGCTTTTTATGCTGTAGTTCCCTGGAGTTGGTTTCTATTCCTAGACCCTTCCTCTCTTATGCCGATTCTTCTCTGTCCTTCCAGCCCATTCACTACCAGATCCCTAGCCTCTATTGCTCCTATGAGACCAATTCCAGCCCCTATCTGCTGCTTCAGCCCGTCCGGAAGGAGGTCATCCACCTGGAGCCCTATGTTGCTCTCTACCATGACTTCGTCAGTGACTCAGAAGCTCAGAAAATTCGAGAGCTTGCAGAGCCATGGGTGAGTGTTCTGAAAGCTTCACATGCCTGCACTTCAGGAATGTGAGAAAAGGCAGCCTGCGCAGTTCTATCAGTCCAGGCACTCAAAATGCCAGCGGTTCCATAGAGCTAACCAGTGGTGGAAAATAGTCACAATAGCAGTTGCCTATGGAGGAAAGGATTAACTGGGATGAGGTACCAAGGGATTTTTCTGAAGTATTAAAATCGTGTTGTCAATATCTTCTTAAGGCTGTAGAGTATGTGGCTGTATTTGTCAAAACTCAGCAAATGTGTTTGAGACCTGTGCATATCATTGCATGTAAATTTAAGTTAAAAAAGTACAAGTCAACAATTTCATGTGTTTAGCAGAAGAAAAGTGTAAAATTACAAATGGCAAGGAGTGAAATCCTAGTACAAATTTACAGATTAACAGAGTGGGAAAAATTATCTAGTTCAACTTCATCATTTTTGTTAAAGAGATAACTGAGATCCTGAGAAGAGAATGGATTTGATTAAAATCATATGTAGCTAGAGTCACAACACAAACTTAGAGGTACTGTGATTGTCACTGTGCTGTTTTTCCTTCTTAAATCAGTTAATTTAGGTGAAGTTATGCTTGGTAACAAATAGCCCCTGTAGTTAGACAGTAATTTCCTATATTACATGTGTATACTAGGTTAGCTGAAGCTCTGCCCTATGCTGTCTCTACTCTGGAACCCAGCCTGACAGAGCAGCCTCTGTTTGAGATTTTGCCAGTCTTATGAGAGAGGAAAAAGACAGAGATGGCAAATATGAGCTGGCTTTTAAAGCTTCTGCTTTAAAGTGCCAGACATTACATCCGTTCACATCATTAGTTTAGCCAAAGCCTGTGGCTACCACTGCAGGCAATGGGGAAGTCTGTCTGTCCTTCCGTAGGGAAGGCATTCAAGTCACCAAGCCAAGCTTGAGACCAGTTGAAAGGGACATTTCATGATTTCCTTAGGGAATTGGGGTAAATATTTAGAAAAAAATATCATCTCTGCAAGCCTGTTTTCTCTTTAACAGTGACACATTGGGACAGGGAGTGTATCTCAATACAAGAGTGCTTGCCTAGCATATATACCCTGGATTTGATTCCTAGTGCTACAGCAAACAGAAGCACCAAAACAACACCCTGGATTTGGAGGCAGATTTATCTACATCAACGGACATTGATCAGGATCATTCCCAAAATATCAGGCCCTGAAGGCTCAGGGATGGAGGTTTTATGGAATTGCAAAGGGAAAGTACAGAGGTAGAGTATTTGGCTTACAATATTCTTACAATATGCATCACAGTGACTGGCCTTTCCTGGGAGACAGGAGCAACCAGAACTGCAACAGGAACTGTTACCTGGGCAACTAAGAAACTGCACTTGATCTTAGCCAAAAGGCCGAGAAGCGATGCAACTAAGAAACTGAAGTATATGGGCTGGGGTGCGGGGGTTTCTGTTACTCTAGAACTGCAGAAAAATTAAAAATAGCCCATTAATTCTGTCTCAGAATTATTTATGTCTACCCAGACATCATGCCCTTAATAAGTGCTGTTTCAGCCAGGTGGATATTTATTAGAAAAAAATAATTTGTTAGAAAAAAACCACTCCCTGTCCCAATGTGTCATTGTTAAAGAGACAACAGGCTAGCAGAGATGATATTTTTTTTCTAATAAATATCCTGCTTATGCCAGACACTATGATCGGTGCTGGGGTTTTACAAAGCGATGACATTTTGCTCCTTTCCCTTTTGGGTCCTACTGCGGGGAGAGGGAGCAGATATTTACCGCACACTCTGATACACACTATATAAGTGGTGTGTGCAGAGTTGTGCTGTGGTGCCGTGAAAATGTGAGCCTTTCTCTGAAGACTGCTGGGAGGAGGGGAAACGCAGGCTCTACCGTTGGGTAAAAGCCAGCTACTGAACAAGGTGGCAAACGGCACTCCAGAAAGACAAAGCCATACACGCCAGGGCCTGACATGCGTTGTCATCAGAGAACAGGGAGAAGCTGCGTGGCTGAAGTGTGCGTGGGGCAGGGTGAGGGACAAAGGTTGATGAGGTTGGAGATGAGCCACCATTAACAAAGGCTATACGTGCTGTGCTGGGGAGTTTGGATTTCATGCCCTGGGAGAGCTGTGCGGCACTTTGAAACTGTCAAGTAGCGTGATCAGATCTGTGGTTTTAGGGAAGACTGACAGCACGCATGGATCGCAGGGAGAAGAACAGCAATAATTTCATCCAACAGCCCTTCCAGGCAAGTCTAGAATCTTTGCACAGACGGTTTTGAGTGGATTGAGCTCCACTGGTGATGGGACAATGTGTTTTCAGCAGCATCAGCTTCACAGGGAACCAGCAGTCATATTTGGCTAAGAATAGCTTTTTCCTCAGAACAGCTGTTGCCATAGTAACAGGACAAGGGCCTGCCCAGAGATGTTCTTTGATTCCTTTATGGCCAGGTCATCTGTATGGCATGCACAGGCCTTGCCACACTCCCTTCCCCCAGAAGCGTCTCACTCGGGTTGCTGCTGCCTGTCTGGGTTTTTGGCTCTTCCAGGAATAACCCCAGGGTTTACATGGGGAGTGGCTTGCAGTGAACTGAGCACAGCCGCCTCTATGCTTCCTGTTCAATCTCTGCTTCCTATCCATTCTCCCTTCCCCAAAGCTGCTCTCATCATTTCCTCTCTCTCTCTCTCTCTCTCTCTCTCTGTGCTCCCCCTCCTCCGGCCTCCTGCACCCTACCCATCCTTGAAGGCTCAGTTAAAACCCCAGGCATCCTTTGGACCTGTTCCCCTGACTATGTTGGCCTACTTTCCCTGTTTCTTTGAGTGATCATGTTTTCCAGAGCACTTTTTTGGAGCCACATAAATCAACGTATTCCTCCTCTGAACTCAGAGCTTTTGTTGCCAGCTGTACGGTGCATAACTTTTTTCATGTTAGCATGTATTAATTATACAAAGTAATGGGTTTCATTGCAGCATTTTCATACATGATGAATTGATTATCCATTGACCCCAAACCTCCCGTAGCCTCTCTTCCTTCCTCCTCTAGTCCCTTCCCTCTTTGCTAACAGTCTCTGTGTGGCACTTGATTTTTAAATTTACTCTGCCACTTACGTGTTGTTCTGGTGTCACTGGCTATCCGATGACTACACTATAACCTGGCAGGCATCAGGCGTCAGCTCTTTCTTCAAATCCTTTGCTCTGTGTTATAAAAAAATCTTTCTTTGAGTTGGAGACTTGCTATGTTGCCAGGCTGGTCTGGGCCCTCTGGGCTCAAACGATCCTCCTATCTCAGCCTCCCGAGTACGGGAAGGTAGGCAAGTGCCAGTGCACCCAGCCAGAGTTTGTTTGTTTTTTTTTTTTTTTTTGGTATGGAGAATTGAACTCACAATCTCACGTTTGCCAGGCAGGCACTGTGCTGCTGAGCTATATCCTGGGCCCCTCAGAGTAATCTTTAGAAGGTCAAATTTGGCCTTCTAAGTCCCTTGCTTAAACTCTTTATCGGGTCACTTTTGCCCTCCAGTGCTTACAAAGCTTCCTGGCCTGGCCACCCTGCCGCCTCTCCCCTTGCATCAGCACTCCAGCTGCTTGGAGGGCTTTGTTTTCTGGGAATGGCCATGCTCTCTCTTCGTTCTGCCTGCAACACTCTGCTCTTGACAGCTTCAGCTGTGTGAAATGAGCCTTGTAGACATCCTGGGAAGCCTTCCTGCTCTTCACAAGAGTGGGCCAGGCCCCCTTCTCTGCATTTCCATGGCACCTTATGTACTTGCTCATATGGCATAGTAGATAACTGACAGGCAGGGATTTTTTTCTGGATTAGTATATTATTTTTCTGTTTTTATTTTTCTTCTGGTACCAGAAATCGAACTCATGACCTTGCGCTTGCCAGGCAGGTGCTTTGCCGCTGAGCTAAATCTCCAGCCCCAGTATATTATTTTTCTAATGTTTAACACAGTGCTTATCACAGAAAATAATAAACATAGTATTTGTTTCAAAAAATAAATGGCGCTGGGCATGATGGTGCACGCCTGTAATCCCAGCACTCGGGAGGCTGAAGCAGGAGGATCATTGCGAGTTCAAGACCAGCCTGGGCTACAAAGTGAGTTTAAGGCCAGCCTGAACTGCAGAGCAAGACCCTGTCTCAAAAAAAAAAAAAAAAAAAAAAAAAGGCTTATAGGTGGACAATAAATGATTCAACACAAAGTAGCTCCTTACTTGAGGAAGGAGGATACCCTAGGATTTTTTTTTTTTTGTCATTGATTTTGCCCTAAAATAACAGATGACACTCTCTCTCCTCTATAAATTACTTGGGAGAGGATGCCAGGAAAAATTAGTGAGGGATAAACAGAGCTAATATCAATCACCTGATTTCCCACATCCTAATACTATAGAGCAACAGGCTGAGAGGAAGTCCTAAGAACATGTTCACATGCTGCATCTTATAGACAGGGAAATGGGCCCAAGGAAAAGGAATAGGCTTTTCCAGTATTGTCAGCTGGTGTAATATAGGAACCATGATCTTAAAGAAGTCTTAGAGCAGGGAAGAGTTTCTGTCTTGTGCAGTTCATTCCCCTAGGCTCAGCTTGACTGTCTGGGAAGTACCAGGGCTGGGTCTCAGTCCCAGCAGCAGCTTTCAGCCTAGGGCCCTGTCTCACTCATTCACTCACTCACTCATTCATTCATTCATTCATTCATTTGTTTAACCAACAGTGAGCACCTAATCCCTACCAGACCTTCTCTGCACCCTAGGGATACATCCCTGAGAAGAGACCAAGTCCTTGCTCTCAGGGAGCTGCCAGTCTGATGATGGAGGCAGGGGGAGACACATCCTCATAAAAATAAATGTGGACCAGGGATATAGCTCAGTGGCACATGCGCCTGCCTGGCAAACACAAGGTCTTGAGTTCAATTCCCGGTACCAAAAAAATATATATAATAATAATATAAATAAGTAAGTAAATAAATGTATGTTTCTCTTTCTGTCCTTAGTATGGTGACTTTGCAATGAAGAGGTACTTTTTACAAAAATCACTTCAATGCTATATCCAGACATTCAGAACAAAATAGACCTTCAGCCAAATTAATGCCTTCAGACCTATTATAGTTCTTTCATCATCAAGGCAGTTGCAGCAAGACAAATTGTGGTTCTTTTCAAGGAAGGGATTTGGCCAGAATTATTCAAAAGGAGCAGGCTGTCTGCGAGCGCAGGTTTCCCTGTTGTTGGAGATGTTTATTTAATAAAACAAACACCCAGGGCTGCTTGCAACCAGGCCCTGTGCGTGGCACTGCGGTACAAAGAGGGAGGAGAAATGGACCTTACCTCAGTCTTGCAGACACCAAAGGGACTCAAATACCAGTTTATTTTAGTTCAACAAACTGTATTGAGTGTTCACTGTCTACAACAGTAAAGGCTATTTTCAACTCTAATATCTCTGGTCACTTATTATGTTTTTATTCTCAAGATCAATACCATCATGTGCAAAATATCCTTTAATGAGGGAGGACCTGGCAATAGTGCTTATGCTTCAGAGAGGTGCACGTGTGTAGACACAACAGCTCTTCCCTTTGCATCATAACCACTTGGACTTCGTCTTGTGTTCTTCCCCCAGCTCCAGAGGTCAGTGGTGGCATCCGGGGGAAAACAACTACAGGTGGAGTACCGCATCAGCAAAAGGTAAGAAGGCCCCTTTTTCAAAGACCAGGGACTGCTGCTGCTGCCCACCCTCAGGCCTAGGGCACAGCCGGCTGCCAGGTCAGCAGCGCACTTTCTGGGAAAGTCAAAGGTTCCTTTGGAAAACCTGTGGTTCATTTTTATTTCTATACATTCTTTTTAAGAGGGAGAAGTTTCTGCTTCCACACCCAGAACCTTCCTCAGGTTTGAAATATGAAGAATTAACTAGGAGGCCATTAGGGACACACTTGAAAAAAATCTGCTTTAAACCAAAACATAAGCATACAGGTTTTCTAACCAGGATCACTTTTCCAAAGAATACAGCCCTGCTGCATATGTAATTTGACTTTACAGCATTCCATTCCTGCCTCCCGACTCTTGCAAAGCATGACTTGCAAACACTCAGGCAAGAGGGATGAATAGAGACCCTGGACCCAAGGGCTTCTCCAGAGAAGCGGGTTCAACTGTGGGAGCCCAGCTTCACGCTACCCCTGCCCCACCTCGATCTGTATTTGCAGTGTGAGGAAAGGAGTGGTGATAGAATAAGTCTCCAGCACAGCCATGCATGACAGTGACATCAGCGTCCCTGGGGAGGCTCGTATCTCAGGATGAGCTATATTGTCTGGGAAGTGAAGTTGAGGGATGAAAGCTTTGATCAGAATCATTTTGGCTTAACTTGTTTGGCCTGGTACATTTAGGACCTTTCTCATTAGGAGCTATTCTCTCAGTGTGGGGAGAGCTGTGTGATCTATTTTTTGTTTGCTTATTTGTTTGTTTGTTTGAGACAAGGTCTCCATATGCAGTTCAGGCTGGCCTTGAGCTCACTTTGTAGCCCAGGCTGGTCTCGAACTTGCAAGGATCCTCTTGCCTCAACCTCCCAAGTTCTGGGATTACAGGCATGCGAAACCACGCCCGGGTGCGTGATCTCACTTAATTGTTTTTCTAACCTTTCTGAAATTTTAGTTTCAGAGAGAAAAATTCAGTCATCTATTTAGAGCCATTGCTTTTAGGGGAATACATAGTATTTTCTTCACATCAAACTACCTTCTCTATTTCCCTTTACCTCATCCTTCAATCTTTTGAATTTTGCTTCAACACTCATAATTTCACTGGGTCTGGTCACTCAAAGATCCCCAGAGAATCCAAATTGCCAGAACAATTTCTTGCTTACACGTTTTCGTGGTCTATCCATTATCCATGTCTTTAGTCACATTTCATTGCAATAACTGAATAAATACCACAGAATGGGAGATGTAGCTCATGCTTCTGCAGGAAGGTTAGTGAGGGCCTCCTTGCTGCCTTGTAAAGGGACAAAGGGCATCACTAGGCGAGACAGAGCAAGGGTGTGAGCTTAGCTTTCTCTTCCTCTTGTCAAACTGTTGCTGCCAACATCGCATGATATCCCCTCACCTAATCCTAATTTCCTCCAAACGCACCTCTAAATACCATTAAACATATGAATTTGAGGATTAAGTTTCTAACACGTTCAAACCGTAGCAATTCACAAAGTCCAGATTGCTTGGCATGGTGTCCTCATCTTTGTTTGTCACGCCTAAGCCTACCTCTCCAGCCTTTTCTCCTGTCACTTCCACAGACCACGTGCTTTGCACGTTATTTATTGTCACACTCCCATGTCTGTGCTTATGCTGTTTCTTCAGGCTGGAGTGCTCTGCCTCCTTCCCGCCTATTGAAACTGTGTGCACCCTTCAAAATTTTGCTTCAGCGTCATCGCCTGATCTCAGAGCCCCAGTCAGATTAATTTCTCTTCCTCTGTACTCCCTCCTCTGTACTTTAAAATCTGTTCCTCATTTTTTTCACTCTAATTTTCCTTCATTATATTTGTCTTTTTCCTCTCCCACCTAGTCCATGAACTCTTTGAAGGTGATTTCCTAGCTGTGTCTTGGGTATCTTTGCAAACCTAGAGCATGTGACATAATGATTTGCACACACTCTGTATGGAAGAATGAACAAAGGAATCCGTCATTTAAAGAACAAAGGAGTGGTTTCACTATCACAGGAAGGCTCTTCCCTCAGAACCCTTATGTTCACCCCAGGAGGCTCACTGGCTTTGCTTGGGAAGCTTGTCCTTGTTTCCCAGGCATTTAAATTCTGATTCTAAACATTCTCCTTTGTCAGAACCTCAACAAGATATTCAGAAGAGACTGAGCTAAGTTTTGTGGCTTTTGACCTGTCCTGGTTCATCTTGGGGCAGAGCCAAGGAGCAGATTCTCCTGGCTTTCACAGTAATCACAAATACATCGTAGCTTACAAAACATGTTCCTAAGGGTTCCTCTCACAGTCTTCACCGGTCAACAAAGTAGATACTATTGTTGTCTCCATTTATAGATGAGCACACTGACCCTTACAGCTCAAATACCTGATTCAGAGCTGGGGACAGCGGTGTACACTTGTAATCCTAGCACTCTGGGGAGGCTGAGTCAGAAGGATTCCAAGTTCAAGCCCAAGCTGGGCAACTTAGTGAGACCTTGTCTCAAAATAAAAAAATTTAAAAGAGGACTTGAGATGTAGCTCAGTGCAAAAGCTCTGAGTTTAATCCCCAGTGCTCAAACAAACAAATAAACAAAATCTGATTTAGGATCACACAGAGGATCAGGGATTGGTTTTATAACTTTAATCCCAGCCCCTCTCCCTCATTGAAATGGGATCTTGCTATGTTGCCCAGGTTGGTCTCAAACTCCTAGGATAGAGTGATCCTTCTGCCCCGCCCTCCTGAGTAGCTGGGACCACAAGCGTGTACCACTATGCCCAGCAGACTTCTGACTTCAAATCCTAAGCGTCCGCCATTGCACCCAGCTCCCTCTTTCGTAGATGTCTGTGCAACATAGTGGTTTTAAGGGCACGGTTTTGTTGTCTTCCTCTTTGTATCACAGTCCTGGGGCTGTGAACCTTCACTTGGTAGCCTTAGCACCCATGGGGCTCAGAGAGTGTTTGTGGAATGAACATGAATGTTGAGATAGAGGGCAAAGCACACTGGACAGACCTAACGTGAGAGATGAGGAGGTGATCAGACGTTCGTGGCTGCCTTTCTTCTTCCTTCACTCCCCGACCCTGCCCCTGCCCTTCCTTCCTTCCTCAGTTACTTGACATGTGTCATTCATTCATTCATTCATTCATTCATTCACAGAAATCATGTAGTCATTTTCAGGATCAGATCACTGATGCTGCAATCTGTGATGTGTTTTAGTGCCTGGCTGAAGGACACTGTTGACCCAATGCTAGTGACCCTTGACCACCGCATTGCTGCCCTCACAGGCCTGGATGTCCGGCCTCCCTATGCAGAGTATCTCCAGGTGGTGAACTATGGGATTGGAGGGCATTATGAACCTCACTTCGACCATGCCACGGTAATGGGTCAAGGCCAGCCTCCTGCGATGGGAAGCTGGGACAGTATTCATTTCTTTGAGCCAGAGCTCTCCTAGGGCTCTCAGTGAATACTCAGGGAAGTCTTAGGGCAGCGGGGCTTGTTTCAGGAATATCTGAAAGCCTTGCTTTCTGCTGATTGATGATAGCCCGTCTTGTCTACCACTATCCCCCTGTCCGGAGTGTGCTAGTGAGGGAAGAATGTGGCTGCAACGCTTCGTTCAGGGGTTTCCCAGTGAGAACTGCCTTTCCCCAATCCTTCGCCTTTCCTCATGACTTCAGCTGCCCGCCTTTGCTGTCGGTAGCAGACGATTTTTGACGATTAAAAAGACTTCCTCAGAACTGATGTATAGATTCAACCCAAGTAGCTTATTTTTGTAGAAGCTAATAAGCTGATCCTAAAATGTACATGGAAATGCAAAGGACTGAGAGCAGCCACACAACTTTGAAAAGAAGTTAGAGGACACAGACTACCTGATTTCAAAGCTGAATATAAAGCTACAGGAATTAAGGCAGTGTGGTACGGGGTAAAGACAGACACTTGGGTCAGGGGAGTAGAACACAGAATCCAGAAAAAACCACACATTTATGCTCAGCTGTTTTTACCAGGGTGCCAAGGAAATTCAGTTAAGATGACAAAATGGTCTTTTCAACAAACGGTGCTGAAACAATGCAATAATCCACCTGTGAAATAGTGATAATAACTTATGACCTTATCTCATACCATATATGAGAATTAATGTGAAATGGATCGTAGTCCTAAATATAAAAGGCAAGACTATAAAACTTCCTGAAGATAACATAGCAAAAAACCTTTATGAACACAGGTTAGGCAGATTTATTAGACAGGATACCAAAGCGTGATCTGTAAAAGAATAAAACATTGATAAAATAGAACCACATCAAAGTTAAAATCCCTTGCTTTTAAAACACCATTGTAAAATGTAAAGACAAATCATCATGTAGGAGAAAATGTTTGTAAAACATGTATCTGATAAAAAGCTTGTATCCTAAATATCTGTAGAACTTTTATAACTCAGCAATAAGATAAACAAAACAAAAAAGATTGTTAAATAGGCTCCTCAAAGATAAGTAAATGCCTGCTCCAGGCATTTTGATAAAAAGATGTTCAACATCATTAGGGAAATATGAATTAAAACCACAATGAGATAGCATGGTGCTCCTATTAGAATAGCTAAAATAAAAAAGACAGATCATACCAAGTGTTGGTGAAGACAGGGAGGAGTTGGCAGTCTCACACACTGCTGATGGGAGTGTAAAACCAGAGAGCCGTTTTGGAAGAGTTTAGCAATTTCCTAAAAAGTTAAATGTGCACTCACTGTGATCTAGTTATTTCAATCCAAGACATTTTACTGAAGAGAAAAGTAAATATATGTCCATACAAAGACTTGCACATGAATGTTTATAGATTTATTTAACAACCAATTAATTAATCAATTTAGTGGTAGTGGGGATTGAACCCAGGGCCTTCATACTGAGCTGCATCAATATCCCTTTTTTTAAAAAAAATGTTTGTTTTTTTGAGAAAGGTCTTGCTAAGTCACTAGGTTGCCCAGGCTAGGCTTGATCTTATGACCTCCTGCCTCAGCTTCCCAGGCTGCTGGGATTACAAGTGTGCACCACCATACCTGGTTTATAGTAACTTTATTTTTCATAAACAAGAATTAGAAATAGTCCAAGCCCATCCACAGGTGAATTAATAAACAAATTTTGTCATATCTGCCCAATGGGTAACTACTCTGCAATAAAAACAAATGAACAGCTGCCATATCCAGCAGCATAGAAGAACCTTTAAAATCGTATGCAAGTGAAAGAAGTCAGACACAAAAGGCTACATTTTTGTATCCTATTTATATAAAATTTCTAGAAAAGGTGAAATGATAGATCTACAAAGTATATGAGTGGGCTGTGGGGAGTTGATTGCAAACAGGCATGAGAAACGTTTTCAGAAGATAGAACTATTCTGAACCTGTATGGTGAAAAAGGTTGGATAACTGTTAAAAGTTGCTAAAATGCATCAAACAGTACTCTTTATAATAGGTGCATTTTATGGTATGTAAATTATATTTCATATTGTTCATGACAAGGAAAAAAGACCATGTCTCTGGCAAATAATTGAGAACTCTGATCCCCTGACTTTGTACTTCTATAGAGTAATTATCTGTAACATTCTGTATGTTTCACAGAGAGCCACGAGGTGAAATTAGCCCCTCCTACAGTAATTTCACTATCAACACGTAGTTACAGTTAGTATAGAGTTCACTCACCTGAGAATCTACTAAGTCAGGGTCTGATATAAAAGCTGTTGCATGCCTGCCAGCAAAGATGAGCACATGCGCACACCACTCAGGGCAGCTCGGGGCTGTGCTCAGGGCTGTGCCCCAATCTTGGTGCCCTGTTTTACCCCTTCCTGTATTAATGGTGGAATCCTGCCTGTCACTCTGTTACCATCTGTATAAAATAATATGTTCTATTTTTATCTCAGTCACCAAGCAGCCCCTTGTACAGAATGAAGTCTGGGAACCGAGTTGCAACGTTTATGATCTACGTGAGTTTTGCTCTGGAGGGACCAGGGATTATTACTTAATGACTATTCATAGCTCTATCTTATTTTATGGTTTTTCAAAGCAATTTCACACATAATTTTACCTGGTACTGAACACAAAAATTTCTAGGAGGTTTTAGAATTTCAGACAGCATTTTTTGTTGCCACCCTCAAAGAGCTCAGAGTATATAGATCTAAATTTGACCTCGGTGTGGGCAGTGGATTAGGATGGGAAGTGGGGTTACATTGAAAACCAAGAGATCGTGGGACTTGAATGATTCAAGAAAAGGATACAAGAGTCTCCCGTTTGAGGCACGACAGCCAAATCAGCACTGAAAAGCATGGATCTGTAAGACAGACTGTGGAGCTGCTGGAGAGAAAATAAGGCGGCTCAGAGTACAAGAAAAAGCGCAGAGAACCCTAAAGAGAAATTCAGAAATTGTTAGAAGCGATTCATTCCTGTTAAGTGAAGGATAAACATGTTAACTATAAGGGCTCTGAGTAACAACTAAAAATGAAGTCCTGTTTGCTGGCCCATTGGGCTGTTAGACACTCCTCCCTAGTGCTCCCTCTTCCCTTAGGGCTGTATCTGGTCTCTGCAGTGTAGTCGAGAAAGGGCAATAGCAGGCCAGCATTTTGCATATTTTACTGTGGCGATTCCAGTGTGTGCTTCCCACAGAACCGGAGGCCGCCGCTTACAAGGGGGCCCGGCAGCTGTGGTGATCCTGACCAGGCACGGAGGGACTGTTAAGTCAGCTCAGGCAGAGAGCACATCTCCGATGTGCAGCTGGCTGCATCTCTCTTGGCTACCCAAGCTGGCATGGGAAGTCCCAGGCAGGGACGAATGTAGCAGTCAACTGAAGAATATGAGCATGTCAGGGCACAATAGATCTCTCTGTTCTTTGTCTCTCCAGTATCTCCTGTGGCTGGTTCTCTGTAACGGAAGCCCAATTACTACAGTGTAGATAACATGAATGTAAGAGTCCAGCAATTTTAAATGGCAAATCTGTGTGTGTGTGTGTGTGTGAGAGAGAGACAGAGAGACAGAGAAAAGACAGAGAGACAGACAGAGAGAGAAGCAGAGAAAATACACGTGCGGTTGGCTTTGAAACATCTGAATGAAATGGAGTGCACTCTGGCTTTGGAGTCAGGGAGCCTAATCTGATCCTGGTGCTCACTATGGGGCCACACCACAAATTACAGTTACGTGAGCTCATTCTCTTGCTCTGCACCCCCTCACAGGGCTACCATGAGGATCTGCGGAGATAATATTAGGGGACATGACTTGGGAAAGTCTCACACAATGTTTCTATCACTGCGTCCTACCACGCAAGTGAAAGACTCATCAGGGAGAATCAGAGTTGGGGACCTAGGCAGCGCTCACTTATGCCCAATTCTTTCATCTTCAGGTTGAGTAAAAACCAACAAACACAAGAATTCTAGAGGCAAGCGTTGAGGTTTGTGGGAAACAAGAGTAATATTTTAGAGAGAAAATAAGTGCAGAGGATCGAGTTGAAATCAGGTTAGTGATTTTCTGCTCAGGCTGGGTTAAGATCAGTCTAGTAGAAACTATTAGGAGGTATTCAGAGGGGAGCGTTCTCTCTCCTCCCCCTATCTCACAGCCCATGGGTTGTTCATGAGCTTAGCTGCGTGCAGAATCAGATTTTCTTTTTAAACTTCTTGGGACGACATTCCTTTCCATAATATTGTAAAACCACAGGTAAAGATTTCAAGAAAGCCAAGGTTGCCCTTGTGTTATACAGCAGAGTTCTTTAATTTGTTCGTTATTGGGACACAAGGAGTGAATTGTTGCTCCCACTGGCCTTCCAAGTGGGTTACAGAAGCAAAGGCATGCTGAAAACTACCGCTGCCGTTTCCAGGTTCTGAATCACTGAGTCACTTCTGTTTCCTCTAACAAACGCCGGCCTCCTAACTCCTGTAGTTCTTGCTCTGTAACAAATGTGAATATGCAGCAACAATTGCCACAAGATTACAGTGTGAACCCACAGGCAGTGCTAGGCAGGGTGAGGTAAGAGTAGTTCTCCTGTGTCACTGATGAGGAAATAATTTAGCAGTATATATCACAAGTAGTCAATTTATGCATATACTTTTGACCCAAAAGAAGCAAGTAAAATGACAAAATATTTTTCATTCATTAAGATGTTCAATGCAGTGTTGTTTGTACTAATAAATAGTTGGAAGTAACCTAAATGTTCAAAAGTATAGCTTAGTAGTTACGAGCAGGGATTTAGTAGCTGGACAGCACTGGTCAGCTCAAATCCTGGCTCTGTCATGGAAGAGTTATATGACCTTTTATAAAGTAAGTTTGTGTGGCTTGATTTCCTTATTTGTAAAATGTGAATAATAATAGCATTCCCAATTCATAGAGTTCTTATGAAAAGAGAGATAATAAATTTATAAGGACTTAATATAATGCCTAGAATATAGTCAATGTTCAATGAAGTGTCAACTATTGCTATGTGAACGATAACTGCTTCTTTCTGGATGGTAAAATAATTAATACGTCTATTGTTTTAATGCTTTTCTTGTATTTTAAATTATGTCTATGATATTATGTACTTTTTGGACAGAAAAATATCTTCGTAGTAAGAAGGCATCCATAACCCTAGACTATACCAGCGGTGAAAGTTCTGTTTAGGTTACCTAAAGGGGATCTGAGTGATTTATGGATGTAAGTCTTGGTTGTAAGATTAGTTTAGTAACTCTGATCAGCATTTAAGAAAACCACACTAGAATAAAATAAAATAGAAAATATCAGAGTATCTCATGTAGTGAGAATATCTTGTGAAACTTTTACTTCAGCAGTGTGTCTTGTGTCATGATGTAAAATGTATCTTTTCCTGTCTCAGTCAAAAAGCTTAAATCTTCTTATTGTAGCCCTCTGTAAGAACATTGGCTGGAAGGGCAAAAAAGGGAATTCCAAAATCTTGCCCTCTTGTGGCCCTGCAGGCAAACACCAGTGCCATTACAGATGCTCCCTGAACTCTGAAGCTGAATGACTGTCTTTCAGGGATTTCCCACAGATTTGAAATAGGGTGCCACAAGAGGGAATCTATGTTGAAATGACCTCAGATGTCAGGTTAATGCGCACAGGGCAGAGTAGAATTTCGGCAGCTGTTTGAACTCTGGCTTCTTGCTCTGACATCGTAGCTGAGCTCAGTGGAAGCAGGAGGAGCCACGGCCTTCATCTATGCCAACTTCAGCGTGCCTGTGGTTAAGGTGAGTGGTGCCTGGCCTAGACAATAGAGGCCGGAGGGCACAGAACTAACACCGCAAGCTTCACACTGCCTGTGCTTGCAAGCTGATGCCGGAGAGGAGGGATAAAAACGGCCTTCTCTAACTCTCAGAGTCAAAGATAACCCCACAGTCTGGTATTACCACCGCACACTGTGGCCCTATTTGTTAGATGGTTTGTGACGGGTAGGACGCCCCACCTTGTGGGGACTGTTGGGCATCTCTTCTCCGTGGTCCCACAGCACCTGTGCTTACCTTATTCCTAGTGCTCTCCACACTGTCCTATCTTGGTCTCTTTTATCTCTGTCTCTCCTGAGCTGCCGCAGAGCAGAACTGGATGCAGTTTGCCTCTCGATGCCCCAGGCCGGCCAGAGCAGGCTCACAGTCAGGGACCTATGCATGAATGAAGGCATGGCAACTCACACCACCTCGTTCTGTGTGTACGCATGCCTTGCCCCCAACCGCATGGAGTTTTCCTGCCTGATGACATGCATGCATTCGTCCTTACTCATGTGATTTCCAACGGCTGAGATTGTGCGCTGCCCCTCCCTGGGGCTGGGCCCTCTTGTTTTCAGAACGCAGCACTGTTTTGGTGGAACCTGCACAGGAGTGGTGAGGGGGATGGAGACACACTTCATGCCGGCTGTCCAGTCCTGGTGGGAGACAAGTGGGGTAAGGCCTGCCTCTCAGGACTACAGAACAGGGCGCAGCGAAGTGAAAGCAGTAAACTGGGGACGGGGTGGAAACAGCACAGACCTCCCGCCCCTACGGTTTCATTATAGTGCCGCACTGCATTGAGTTGCTCCGATTACCCAGCTGCAGCAGACTGGGGACCTGTAAAGAGCAGCGGTCCTGTCCCAGAGCAGGTGTTAGTGGAGGTTTATTGATGCGAGGAGAGAGGCCCGCTTCATGAGCAGAGCTGAGCACTACAGTGCTGGGTTTCTTCCTGCCCTCTGCTATAAGGAGAGCATTGTGAAACCCTCTCTCTCTGCTTGTTTAGTACACCCCGCCAGAGGCAGCCAAACAAGGAAGCATAAACAAGTGGGGTGAGGGGAACATGTGTATGGAGTGTGTGTGGCCAAGAGCGTTTAGCTCTGTAGACAGAAGTGGATTTGAAGAGGGCTCGCATGCTGAGGTGGCAGACACTGTCAGGAGAAGCCACTCCGATTTCTCTTGTTACTCAGGAGTGGCTTCAGGAGAGATGGCCTTTTAGAATGAAGGCTGAGTGACCTTAGTGCCCAAACATTTGAAAGTTAGTTTACCATGGACTTTTTTTAGGAGAAACAGCTTAGAGTCCACAGTGTGGCGGGCCAAGGTGGGCGGGTGGGCCGGCAGGGTGCGGGATTTGAGGAGACACTTGCACGCCCTGAGTGAGTCTGTGCACAGCCCTGCCGCTGCCCGCCTGCCCAGCCTGCAGCCTTCCTCCTCTGTCTGCTAGTGGCTAACAAGTGGATCCACGAGTACGGACAGGAATTCCGCAGACCCTGCAGCTCCAGCCCCAAAGACTGAAGTGTTGGCCGAGAACAGCTGTGCAGTCAGTGGCTTTCCGGAGAAGCCGAAGCTGGGACCAGAAGCCAGGGTGGGAGAGGAGTAGGACAGCAGCCTCCCAGAAGACCTTGCTGGCTTCACCCATTCATGCGGATGGCGGGCAAGGGAAGTGCTCTCGGGCCCCTGGAGAGTTCACACTTTTCTCTTACGCAGTCATGAGAGTCAAAGGCTAATACAAAGGAGGGGTGGCGGAGGCCTCAGAGAGGTTGCTGAGCTCAGATGCTCTGTTAGAAATAGAACATATCGTCAGGCTCTGGGGTTTGGCTAATTAGTCTTTTGCCACTTTGATGCTTGGCCACAGGGACCCAGAAGTGGCCGTGAGGACACCTGCAGGAGGGGCCAGCCCAGCCCCCATGCCTCCTGCTGGCCCTGAGCAGGCAGTGCGTCCAACACAGAGTGTACCCTACATGAGTGCTACGTCCTGTGATGAGTTTTTAAAAGTAGAAAGCAACCTTTTCTTTTTATATTATTATTTTTAATATCGTCATTAAAATGTTTACACATCATGCTTCCCAGAGAGAATGTTCTTACAATGCTGAATGAAAAAGCAGAGTGTGACATTTTATTATGTTCTCCTCTCAGCCTGGCTCTCACTTCTCGCCTCGTTCAAGATGCTGACATTTTCGCTGTTCCCCAGAGCCGCCGTGCACAGGGCTCGCTCTCCTCCTCGGCCAGGGCCTTCTCAGTCCTTTCTTGGCTCGATGTCCCTTCAGAGAGGCTTCCCTGACCACCTACTTCTGGCCACTTTCTGTCCTGTTAACTGATTTGATTTTCCTCCTAACATGTACTGTACCTGAATTGAAGTTACTTCGCTCATTTGTTGAATTATCATCAGTCACCTTCCTTGCAGGGTGAGCGCTGTATGGCCTTTATACTTTGTAAAGCCCATGTTAGCCGCATCTCGCTGCATTTCAGTATTTGTTTATTGCCAGGCCGCTCCCACTGGACTCTGTCCTCTTTATTCCTCTGGGAAGCCCCAGAAGGTCTGGTTCAAAATAAGCAGGCATTCAGCATTTTTGCAAAGGCATCCTTTGAGTTGCACTGTGGAGGATAAATTTCTACAGGCAGAGTCTGAGGAGGCAATGTTTCCCCCCAAAAGGACTGGCAAGCCCTCTGGCTGCAGCCATGGCTGACAGTGATGTTCGAGCACTTATACCAAGAGAACACTGAAGCCACTTGCCACAGTTTCCTCCAGGGATGTGAATGTTTCTTGTTCACAAAGCAGCCACAGTGAAGGGACGAGTTTGTTCAGAGTTGGCATTGGTTAGACTACACAGTACCCCCGCCCCAGGAAGGAGGGACGGGCTAGGTCTGCTGTAGGACAGTGCCTCTCCTCAAAGCTAGGAGTGAATGGTATCACCTTCCGTTCGGCCAGCGTGTCAGTCTTCAAGACACTCTCCCAGTCTTCCTTTCAAACCGCACCTCCCCAGGGAAGAAAGCAGAGCAAGTACTGTGGAATGACGTTAGGTGCTTAGTGGCTTGCGGGGTGACACGGCCGAGCCAGAGCTAGACACCTGGCCTTCTGTGTCCCTCGCCAGGGCCCTTTCCAGAGCCATGTCCCTGCACCACACCACACCACACCACAAAGGAACGGCCTCATTATTTTGTTTGCATGTCTCCACATCCTCTGAAGGTCTGACTAATCCTGCTGGACAGTGTGTGTGGTTTTGGGGTCCCAATAGAAGTTAGTGGGTAGATAGTAAATTCTAAACACGACTGACTGGGCTTGGGGCATTTCTTGTTTATATATATATATTTTTCCTTCTTTCTTGCACTATTTTGTGAGCTGGTTTCTAACACTATGTCCAACCTGGGCTCCTGGGCTTGTTGGCATTAATGTGACTGTTAGCATTATCATTACTACGGGCCAGGCACTGTCCCGAATACTTATGTGTACTTGTTCCCATTATCTTCCTAATAAGTACAATTATGCCTGTTTTATGGGTAACAGAAACTGAGGCAGAGAGAGTACAACTTGCCTGAGGCCACAGAGCAAAGGCAGGATTCAAATCCAGGTCGGTTACCAAAGATCTTAATCACCCTTCCAATATCTGACTTGTCACTTGTGCTGTTGTTGCTCTACTCCTATTGGCAATAATATCTTTTGGAGCTGATATTTTTAGGGAAGGAGTCTGAAACATTTTCCCAAGCACTGCAAGGATCTATCCACTGTGTCTCTGATGCCTACTTCGACCCCTGTCAGATACAGATGTTTGTCAAGTGCTTGAATGAATCATTTCCTTTCCCCAGATGTACACTATCAGTGAGCAGCTCCATTCTAGGTACATCATAACATCCAAGAAAGCGAGGCGGCCTGCTCATTGCCCTGGAGGACAGTTAGTCCATACTCAAGTGTAAGGATGGAGAAGTGGACATAACCCAGTGGAAAGCGTGTGGTATTCGTCCTAAGGCTCAGAAGGCAACAGAGGGCTCAGAGGGCTTCCATGCTGGAGACAGGAGCCCAGGGAAAAGAGGTGTGAAAGAGGAGTGGGGAGCAGCAGGCCACCCCACTTGTTCCCCTTTCATAAACCACAGGGAGCAGAGAAAGCTGTCTGGGAGGAGGAAGCAAGTGGGTGTTGATTCTAGGGGACTCCCGTCCCACAATGCCAAGAGCCGCACAAACTTCCCTTTCATGGCACCACTCAAAGAGTCCCCTGTTTGGGGACCGAGGCTGCTCAAGCTGGGAGAAGCCAAAGGAGCCTACGTGCAGGGCCAGGGAGTTGGGGGGACATTTGCATGTAGGTTGCTGTGCACTCAGCAGAGCTATAAAATCAGTGAAGAGGCAAAGAAAAGCTTATGTCCCTACTCTTGGCTGGTTATTCCCTGTCCCATAACTAATTCTCCACCATTATCATGCCTTTTGACAAAGGACGAAAGTAGGGCTCAGAGGAAAGACATCCCTGGGCTCACATAGCTGAGAACAGAGCCCTCTAGAGCCATCTCTTTCTCTGGATTTGTGTCTCTTCCTCACTTTGAACCTTCGTATTTTCTTAGGAACAAGAGCCTGCCTCTCTCCTTTATCCCCCCCAACCCTGCCTCATATATTCAAGTTCTTGAACAGGATCCCTCCTATCAAGTGCTTGATCTGCCCACCCGTCCCCCCAAGGGTTGTGATAGAAGTTTCCCCTTTTCCTGCAAGGGATGTATTTGCATTTGAAATAGGAGTCCTGGCAAAATAAAAAAATTATCTCAAAGAAATGAAGTGCTAAGGATGGATTCTAGGCATCAGGATAGCTGTGGGGGTGTGTGTGACAAATATTTTGACCAAGGGTTTAAGGACATGGCTCAGAGGAATCCTCACAGAAAATTACATCTCTACCTTGCTCAAGGTTCACGTTTTATACAGAACGTAACTATGATACCTATCATGCCCCCCTGTTCATCTGTTTACCAATTGATGGAGCTAGAGAGCAGTTATTTCTCCTGGCCAGGACAGATGAAGTCACTTGTTGTATAGCAGTGGTGGGGCGGCGGTGGGGTGGCGGTGGTGGGTGTTGTTTGATACAGGGATCTTGCTATGTAGTTCATGCTGGACTTGGACTCACTATGTAGCCCAGGTTGGCCTCGAACTCACAGTAATCCTCCTGCTCAGCCACCTGAGTGCTAGAACTACAGGTGTGCACCACCACGCCTGGCCACTTGCCTGTAATTACCAGTATGTAATTGTCAGAGCCAAGGGTAGAAGCAAGGTTTCCTGGCGTAGAGATCAATGCTTGTTCCAAAGCTCTACAAGTGCTTCTTGGAACAAGAGGAGTACGGTGGGCAAAGAAGCAAGGGAAACACAGCCCCTGATGATGTTTTCACAGGCAAAGATTATGCGTGTGGTCTGTCAGTCATCCAACAAAGCAAGACTGGTGTTGGCTCTGCACCAGGCCCTTTCCCAGGGCTGGGGAGAGTGGGATGACTGATTCTCTGTCCTTGAGCTCCCACAGAAGAAAACCCTCAATGACAATACCAGTGAAATATTTGTGAATATACTGACATATATGAATATATAGTGATGATACTAGTGACCTACTAGTAAAAAAAGAAAAAGCTACAAGAATTTTGAAGAACATGAAGATATCTTTCATGAGATGGAGTTCTTGCAACACTTGATTTGGTCCTTGGGGGATGAAGGTGCGTGTTACGGGAGGGATGGCGCTTATCACCTTAACTCACATGTATAATGAGTCCTGGAAATTCAGATAGATCACCCTATGAGAGAAAACTTTTGCAGCTTTATATTTTGTGATCTGTTTTGGGGAAATAATTGTTTCTATTTATCAAATAAAAATTATATCAAATCTCAAAATTTATGTGTGGCATCTTAGTTACTATTCTCTCATTGCTGAGACAAAATACCCCATACCCCAAAACAACAGGGGAGAAAGGTTTATTCAGCTCACAGTTTGTGGAGGTTTCAGTCCATAATCAGCTGGCTGTGAGGCGGCGTGGCACATGGCAGAGGGGCAACACTTCATGGTGGCAAAAGACAACAGAATCAACTGAAACTTAACAGTATCTTTCTGCCCCTTTTATACTCTCTCCAGGCTGCTGGGATTAGGCTGGTGCCAATCCAATCAGTGCACTAATCCAGCAATCACCCAGCCTTAATCCCAGCACTGAACTATGAATCAAATCACACACTCTAGACTCAGGCATCACCCAGCTTCAGAACTCCTACCGTGCTCTCAGGTTCTAGGTGCTGTTTTTGTTTTTTTTTTGGTTTTTTTCTCCGGTACCAGGAACCGAACTCACATCCTTGTGCTTGCCAGGCAGGCGCTTTGCCGCTGAGCTAAATCCCCAGCCCCAAGGTGCTGGAATCTTTGTGTACTCAGAGAACAGGAATTCTAGGCGGGCTCATTCTAGAGGAACAAGGTCATCTTGCTGTTGCTGCTCAGTCAATTCTGTGATAGTTGCTCAGTCCTGCAGTGCCAGGGTGAGAAACCATCCCTCCCTCCCTTGCTTCCCCAGTCCTTCAGTCTCTTGTGAATATGAGACAGGGACAGGCAAGGTAAGGCCCAGCCTGGACCTGATGCATCAGCCCATTTGCCCGACTCTAAACTCCTATGTGGATGCTTTGCCCAGGGTTGCCCTACTTACTTTCCTTCCGTAACAGTTGTCTAGGAATACAAAAATTAGAGGAACACAAATGTGAAGTGTACCACTTCACACTTACAGGATGCCTATGATGTTTTAAAATTGGAAAGCAAGTATTGACAAGGTTCGGAGAAATTTAAATCCTTGTGTAATGCTGGTGGGAATGTAAAATAATGCAGCCTCTGTGAAAACCAGTTTGGCAGTCCCTCAAGAAAGTCAAACAGAATTATCTCATGACTGCAGGTATATATCTGAAAGAATACACTACCCCTGGGAAAGTATCTGAAAAAAATGAAAGCAGTTACTTGAACAGGTATCTGCACACAAATATTCATAGCAACATTATTCACAAGAGCCAAAAGGTTGAAATTTGATAGATGCTATAACATCACCTTGAAAACATAATCTTAATAAACCAGATGTAGGATATGTACTGTATTATGTGATTCCATTTCTACAAAATACCTACAATGGGCAAATTCAGAAACAGAGAGCAGAACAGACACTCCTAGGAACTGGGGACAGAGGGAAGGACGAGTACTGTTTAATGAGTACGCTGTTTCTGTTGGAGATGATTTTTAAAAGTTTGGAAAACAGATGGCGGTGATGGTGCCCAGCACTGTATATATTACTTACATGGCACAGAACTGTACCTCTGTATGGTTAAAATGATAGTATGTTTCACTTATTTCATCATTTTTAATAACTTAAATTTGGAGACATTCCCAGGCCCCAGGAGGGTTCACAGTACTGTGCAGCATTCAGGCCCCCAGTGCACACCAAGTTCAACTCTTCTTGGAGGCAGCTCCACCAAATGCAGTGGGGTGGTGGGTACAATGGCGTTGCCTTTGTTGACTTTTGGGATTCAAGAGGAGTCCCCTTATTTTCTAAGCACCTGGCATTTATTGCTTTTCCTTTACCTAGCAGGGGAAGTACACATTCATTATCTTACTATGCGTAGTTCTCATTTCACCCTTAACATTTTGGGAATTCAGCATTAGCTCCCCGTTTTTTAGATAAGGAACCTGAAGTTCCGAAAGAAGTGATATGCCAAGGGTCACCTGGCTAGTGAGGAAGGGGCTGCACAGCACTGGAGGTGTGTCTCCTGCAGCCAGGCCCCTTCCCCACAGCTGTCCCACCTCATCCCTTTCTGGTATGGGACCGACAGGGCATGTGCTGCTCTGGGAGTTATGGCCTGATCTCTCTAGTCCAGCTTGAGCTGCTGTGTGGCCATGGGGAAGTCATTTTCCTTGTCTGAGTGCCATTTTCTTATCTGTGGGATGAGACTGCTCAGCTGCCTCCCCTGCCCCTGCCACAGAGCAGGTGTGTGAGGTCTCGGAAGGTTGTAAAGGCAGTGACTTATAAATGACAGCGTCTGTAGTGTCAGTTACCCTCATGCTCTAGCAGCCATTGCTAAGTGGCATTGGCACTGACCATCAGGGAAAAACTTTCTCCCTCAACACTCAATTAGCTACTCAGGGAACTACTCCCTCCCCCCACTTGGGAGGGGCCAGCCCTCTGCTAGTCTCTGAGTCCAAGGTTTCAGCTGGCTCTGGGCTGGGGCTTTCTAGCAAACTGCAGGGAGAGGAAGCCAGCTTGAGGAATAAGGGCGCCTCTAGAGTTTACATAACTTGCTGAGCCTTGGACCCAGACTGAGAATGTGTTGATTCTGGCTGCTGAGAGATGGGGCCAGAAGAGTTGGCTCTAGGACCATAAAAAAAAACACCACTGCTGCAGGGATGAGGAGGACTAGCTGTGGGGAGTGGTTAAACCCTGACTGAGCCAGAGGTCAGCAAACTTCTTTGAGACTAGAGCAAAGCCAGTCCCAAGGACACGAAATGCCAGAGGCAGACTGAAGAAGTTGACCTCTAGCTCAGCTGCATATCAGCAGATGTCAGGCCTTGGTGTTCTTCCTTGTTAACTATAGCACAGATAGCTCTGAGAATCTTTTTGCTTTCAGTGTTCTCAGCAAAACACAGAGACCTTGTGCTCTTGACTCCATCAAGTGCTTTTCCTCTTTTTTCACTTTGTATAAATAAAGACGCTGGGGTTGGGATGCTGTCACTGCCTCTCCATCCGAGAGGTCAGGTCCCATCCGGTCCCAGTTTTCTTTTTATGTGTCTTGTTTCTTAATCTCCCATCACCCCCTCAGGACCCTGCTGCCTGAGCAGGTCACAGCAGACTGGCTTTTGCTTTCTCTGCTACCACTGTAGGCTCTCTTCATGCTTTTCTCTTACTAGTCTTGGTCTTTTTAAGTCCTTATCCCCAATTCTGATGACAGATTCTTGAACCCAACTTATTAGTCCTTGGCCCCCTTTCTCCAGATTCATTAATTTGTCTTATTACACCTTCAAAATATTCTGCTCATCCCTGTGGCTCCTGTCCTAATTTGGTATACCCGTCTTTTTACCTGGACTACTACATAACTGCCTCTTCACTGTTCTCCTTGCCTCTAGTCTAATGCCCACCAACTCATGTGCCTGGTGACTTTCCCAAAAAATAAAACAAAATAACAACAAAATAAAGACCTGATCTTGCCATCACTTTCCTGCTTAGTATAGCTTTTGGAAACTCTCCATTCTTGCCACTCAAGGCCCTGTATCCCTATCTCCTCTCCTGGCTCATCTATCACAGCCTGCAATCCAGCCACAGCAAGCTTCCTACTGGTTCCTAAACTGACTTTCAATCTGCAGGGTTTGTCTAGTCCGGCAGTGACGAACCTATAGCACGTGTGCCACAGGGGGCTGTTTGTATCACTGAGAGCTCTAAAAGGTTCCTTCTACATGAAATGGACTGCCTTTTCTCTCCACATCCACCCTGTAATGTTTCGGGTTTGTCTGTTTGTTTTTTGAAACAGGGTTTCATGTATTTCAGGTTGGCCTTGAACTCACTCTGTAGCCCAGGCTGGCCTCAAACTTGTAGTGATCCTCCTGCCTCAGCCTCCCAAGTCTGGGATTACAGGTGTGTGCCACCATTCCCAGCTCACCTGGTAATGTTTAAAGGCTCATGATAATTCTGTGGAACCTTCCTTGCCTGTTTCCAAAGAAGTGTGGTTATTCCCTACAACCTTTATATAATATGGTCACAACTTCTTTTCATTGTCTCCTTTAAACTGTAAGTTCATTTTAAGGGCATTATTTTTTATCATCCTCTAATATATTTAAATACTGAAATATACTCTACATTTGCCAGAGCACTGCTGACAGTCAATGAATGCATCCTTTGGAAGGAAACCTGGTGATACATATACATATTACATACATTATTGGGTGTTCTAACCCAAGCCTGTTACTGGGTTTTTTCTTTCTTTACTGACACGAAAAAATAGAAAACAACAAAGCATTAGTATTACAAATCATAATATAACACTTTCAAAATGAGACACTTGAAAATTAACTTTGAAAGAGAACCAAATTTACCAACTATTCAATTTAATAGAAGCTGAGTATGGTAGTACACACCTGTAATTCTAGAACTCTGGGAGGCTG